GGATCGACTGAATCTTAATATTGATATAACAAGCGCTAATATCCATAAATACATTTTGATTCTTACCCAACAAGCACTTCAGTCTTCTGACTTGTGACTGTGGGGGTTCTATACGTTCGATTGCCATAGTTGTGTAATATATTCTGCGTTAATCAAGTAGCGAACTTAACAAACATCTGTGCGAATTTTCCGTATTTACTTGTCAATTCTGTACTTCTTTTGTCATGTGGATGGTCTAATAATACGTATTGTTAGATCCATTTTGAAGGTTTTGTGTATGAAAGTCCCTCCATGTATACACTTGTAATTTGTTTCTATTTACTGCTCCACTTTTACATTTTGTTAGTCTTTTGACTCTATTTGAGATGGTAATGTTTGAACTTTATCATAAATTTCGTTTTTCTTACGCCCTCACTGAGTTTCCGTGTTTCTTCCTGAACTGCATTTATGTTGCTTAGTTGATACTAGGTCTTGGTGGCAGCCATATTGATGTGTTCCCCCTTTGATGGTGTTGCTTGCATTGACTGGAAATGTTCATTTTCGGTTGTGAGTTAAAGCACTCTTTGAGGATTAGAAATATTCTGTGCTATAAAGCAACAAAATATTATCTTTCGAACGAATCCTTCGTGCTAGTGGAGAACCCTCGTTCTATTGATAGAAAAAAACAAACTAGTAGTGAATGGGTCTTTATTTAGATCTTGAGGCATTCACAGTGGAGACGGGGGTTACCTGTTCAAACACACGAAGATTTTCAACATTCAATATAAGATAATAGGGAATATAATGTCTATACAAAATAAGGAAGTAAATGAATATTTGTGCTCTATTGTTTTGACATATACTTAGTTGTTTGAGGTCGACTCTTAACTAATTAACTTAAGCTGTTACAAATATGTGCATGATATATCCAGAAAGGACAGAATAGCATCTATTTGTTGCGATTGATTGATTTATAGATGGAACAATTATTGGTTTCAACTGGGCACTAGCGCGCATCCAAACTACCAAGACAGTTATTCTTCAGTCCAAACCCTAGCTTAGATTCTACACTTATGGTGGTTCATTAACTAGATAAGCTGGTTTCAGCATGTCAATACCTACTGAATCGATGTTTCCGTGTTTCTGTACAAGAATATATTTAGGTATTCTCGAGACCACTTTGTGTGGACCTTTGACTGGATGGCGAGTAGATGATTTTACTTTGTTGCACCTTATCCAGACGTGCATGTAAGTGCTTAGGTCCTGTGGATATATGTGTTATTGGGATCTATTTACGAGTATTCATTGGTCTCAGTTTGGACGTTTGGCCCCGTTGTCGATCAACGTAACTCTAGAAATCAAGCTCTTTACTTTCAGTACAAAGATTGATATTCTCACTCAGTGGTCTTAGGATTGTCACGAAGACTAGGTCTGCTGTTGAACGCTATGAATCAGTCTTGACAGCGTTCCTTATTCCCATCATGACTGGGGTTCGGGTATGATATTAGAAGAGCCTTCAGCGGACGGCAGAAACGTTCTACCGTTCTATTAGCCTGAGGATGATACACTGTGCAACGTATTCTAATGAAGCCTAGAATGTTAGATAAGTTATTGACCAGCTCAGAAATTATTGCAATAGGCGTACTAAAAATTGTCGCCTAGTTCTGAATGAAAGCTTTAGCCATGGTTTCAGCTGTAATATCGGTTATCGGTATGGTTATTGAAAACTTTCTGGATTTGCCTATGCATGTAAACGGAGAGAAGAACATATGGAACTCAAAACAACTGTCAACCAGTAGTAAAGTCAGAATCTTCAATTCTAACGTCAAGACAGTTCTACTGTATGGAGCTGAAACTCGGAGAACTACTACAACCATCATCAAGAAGCTACAAGTACTTATAAGCAGTTGTCTACACAAGATACTCAATGTCCGTTGATCGGATACCATCAGCAACAGCCTACTGTGGAAGAGAACAAACCAACTCCTGTTGAAAAGGAAATTAGGAAAAGACGTCGGAAGTGGATAGGATATACATTACAGAAATCATCAAACTGCATCACGAAGCAAGTGCCAACTTGGAATCCTGCGGAGATGGAAAGAGCAATGCCAAAGAGCACACTACGTCGTCAATTGGAAGCAGACATGAAAAGGATGAGTAGCAACGGGAGAGGATTGCCCAGGACAGGGCTGGATGAAGAGTGCTAGTAGGCGGCCCAACAAGCGTAAGTAATGTAAATAAATAATCAAAACCATCAGGACACGGTTAAAGTATTACCAAATCGTTATGAACACGGGAAAAGTAGGCATCTGTCTTTGCTAAAACTCCGACAAGTGAGGCTTAGCGATGGTTAATCTATGATTTTTAACACTCCAAACGCTCTGTAAATCACTTATTTACACCTTCTTTGTAAATGTAGCCATATATTTCCGGCATTGATTAGTTTGTTAGTAGTTTTAGATCCAGGATGAATCAAAGTATGAGAACTATTAATTTTCGGGACGAAAGACCGAGGCATCGCCTTGTTCATGTCAAAGTATACCAAACTGCAGCCAACAGGTGATGGTAGCTGTTTTAGTTTGAGACAAGAGTTCTTTGCCGTAATTAGGTTTCACATTTCTTGATCCTTTTTCTGGTTTTCTTTCAACCATTGAAAATGTATTGTGGATTGTTGTATTACGTTCATTTCTAGCCGAGATAATGCATCTGTTGCCTGATTGATTTTGTAAGATCATGAACAGGCTTCGTTTTTTTAGCAAATTGTCTAGTTTTGCCTGTAATAGGATTACTCGATAGAAGTGAAACCATTTCAACGTCACAAACAAGACTTAAAGAAGTATGTTGTATAATAAATTGGCATTATTACCATTGGTTTTCGACATCACTACGTGGCCATAAGGAGCCGTAGTTTAACAAAATGTTCTGCCCTACAGACGTGGATGGATCGAAGTTATCTCTTCACCATCATGTTTGCTGGTTAGCAACACCAACCTCCCTTCTTTTGGGATGTTAGGCTCTCTTATGTTTGTGGTGTGTATCAATATTGCTGTAATCCAAGGTCTTTGTTAGAATATACTGTCTCAACTAGTTCCAAATTACAAGAAAATCAGATGGTTACAGCTTACTTATTGTGGGTTAGATACCCATTTAGTATATCAGTGCTATGAAGATGAATTGTGCTCAACTAGGTATGAATTTACGATGAGAGTTGACTGAAGCTAGAGGACTGTATATCGGGTATTGCGAAATGGTGTCCACCTCTTCTATGATCGGTGTAATCCTTCCTGGGCTTATTGTATGTCCGAGAAATTCTAGAGTTCGAGCACCGAAAACTCACCTACTTTGATGTATATTCACTCCGTTTTCATTCAGTCATTATAACATTGCTCCCACGTTTTGTTCATGTAATTTTCAATCCGGACTGTCATTTAACGAGTCGTCTGTATACCCCTGCACAAATGACATATTCTGAAGTTATCCATAAATATTTGGAACATTTTTGCACCGTCTCTCAGTCCGGACGGCATGCATAGAAACACGAACAGTTCAAGAGGTGTTGTCATAGGTGTCTTAGGGATATCTTCCCCAGCCACTGGCACGCTGTGATGTGCCCTGATCATTCAATTTTAGTATGTTCAAACACTGTAAGCTGTTTTTAAAATCTCGGATACGAAGTATTGAATACATGGTTGGTACTGTTTGACGGTTGAAGGATCTGTCATCCTCACACTTTCGCAATCGCCTACATTTTTCCTTGGGATCATATGCAGAACGAATCCCCATTGGCTATCAGAGGGACGAAAAATACCCGGCTGTAGCGTGTAGGCGATTCAGCTCTACCGATTTTAATCTTATTGGGTGCTCAGCTCTTTAATCTAGCAAACACAGGTTCCTCTTCAGTTTTGATCGTATGACTTAACTTTAGTTTACCTTTGGAAGACTGAGGGTTCGCTATGGCAAAATTGGGTAAATCCGCGAGTATCTCTTGGAATTTCGTAATTGTTACTGGTGAAGTTTGTGCCAAACTCGGAGAAATTATATGACGCAGTAGTAATGGATAAGTCTTTTTTAAGATAACTAGCCCACCAGCTTATGGAAGTAAACAACTTGTGGAAATACTAATAGGTTATCATACTTGTGATCCTGAATGTATTGAGAACCTGAACAACGGAACATGACAGACGGTATATCTCTCTAATTAGCTTCTTGAATGTATCTGAATAAAAATGGCCAAAAACTTAGTTTGTTGAAGATCGTGCTTTGCTGAAAGTTATGGTTAAGACGTTACGGATATTTAGGGTTTGACAACGCTGTTGTCTGTAATGCTTTTATGATCGACGATCAGAAATCGATTCAAACCATAGGTCAGTAATGAAGGATTTTAAAGACATATTTAAAGATAGTCGATATGTCAAGAAGTTTGAGATGTATTCTGATTATTTGTCGGAAGAGACGCGTAGCGCGGTGTGCCCTACAATGGTCTGACGGTGATGCTTAGCTGAGCGCTTTATCTGGAATGTGTCCGGTAAAACTAGTGAGGTCAGCATCAGTGTCGAAAACTCACAGAACTTTTTTTGTGCGTCGGGTCTACTTACTGTTACAACAATTACGGAGTGAAGAAGTTACCAAGTAAAAAATTCTGATTTGATTAAGTTGAAGGAAATCAAACCAAAAATAATACCAAAGCGATAGGTCACTGTGTTATCATATTAACATCGACTCTAAGTCAACCGTAATCAAGAGGGAACACTGTTTATGTGTGAGTGAATACTATATATGGCAAAAAATACACCAGTTCAGGAAATCTATAATGTCACTTACATCCCGACCTCAACTTGTCATTTTCTTTTAACTCTCAGTCTCGCGTGAGGTAAGGACGTTAAAAGAGATGAATTGGGGACAAAAGAACACTCTTACGTGTAACTTATCCTCGAAATGATTACTAGAATATTGTTTCACACATGCATTATATTGTAGGTTTGAGAATGAAACATTGAGTACATTTTCACGTGAAAACATTTGTTTAACCGGGCGTTGTCTACAGCAGTAGCGGCAGTTGTTGTTTGTCCTCGTGATGAAGGTGAGTTTCTTGTGTTTCCGTATTGGTGCCAATGTGAAGGTATTTGGCTCTGAAACCTCAGTTCTATCTTGCTAGCTGTCCAGCTGTCATTCGTGGTTGTGTTTCTCATAGAATCGAACTGCTATTGATTGTGTCCAATATCATTTAAGGTTCAGCAAGTGCTTCAGTAATTATCGTCTGGTCGTCACTGTCTGTTAGTGCTTTGAGATTCGAAGATTCTGTATGGATCGCTCATATTTAAACTATAATATAGCTAGGGATTCACCACTGTAAAAACTTAGTCAAGTAATATAATCTGACTGCAGTAGTATGTAAAGATAAGAGAAGTTATGTATAACATACGGCAAATGTTGTTGTTTATTAGTAAATTTGTCAAGAGTCGTCGGATGCAAATTCCAAGGACCTTATGGGTTAGTATCCGGTGTTTAAGTAGGCTTATTACTTCCTTTGTGGTGTCATATCTTCCTAGGAACTTTGGGATAAACTACATCTTAGAGATCTCTGACTCAAACTTCTGTAAGCCACATCACATCAGAAATGATGTCAGGACTGGCCATGTATACTTCATTTGTTCCAGGTAATGATACAATTAACTGCATTAACATGCATCGTTATTGTTGTTCCGCTAGATGCCGAGTCCTAGGACCGACAGAGGTCAGATACACTACTCCCTACATTAAGGCTACGTAGTGAGGCACGTAGGTCACCTAGGGAATATTTACCACAGCAAAGAAAGCATCCTGAATATTAAACTGTTACCAGTAACGTTTTAATGACTGTCGGTGCTCCGTCAAACTGTACTGTCATTTGTATACTCATCAGTGAGCGAGTATTTGAATGAATAGTCAATCCACATACAAAAACCCGAGAGGCGCAACTTATAGTCGCATATCCGAGACAGGTGGTGAGACTATAATTTATGCTAAAAGACCCCTAGGATGTCCGCTTATATACCACGCCATTTGACTCGCTAACTTGACCACGTGTAGGTCTAAAATACTTCGTATTCTCAGTATTTCGAGTGATGGTGTTACAAAAATGTCTTCGGTTACATAGTTAGGTACCCGATAATTGCATACAAAAGTATATACCCGTCAGTTTTCCCAGTACATGCTAAGGTCGGCTAGCTTGTGATCGAGGTTCTTTCACAAAGAGTTCTGTTTGCAGTGGTACGGATTATCAGTAAAGTTTTTACAGTACGTTAACAAGTATTTGTCAAAACTTTTTCAAGGGTCCTTGTTAAACAGAATATTCAGTCGAAACCGTAAAGTATCTCGATCTTAAGCTTGCAGTAAAGATTCCAACATATTGTTAATTAACATGTGAAGTATTCCCTAAACCGTTTTTAATGGATAAACCACAAAAATAATGTGCCACCGTTTTCACCCGCTAGTTAATGTTGAGTTCCGTTATCTCACCAGGACTAATGGGCCAATCGTTGGGGATGTTTCTAGTCATGTAATTAACTCAATCATCAAAGTAGGACCTAGGATAAATGTCCGTGGGCCTAAGTTGCCATATAACATTAGTATGACGAAATGAAGTTTACAGGATATATTGGTGGATATAATTATATAGTAGCTACCGCAAAAAAGACTAAGGATGAAGAACAGAATTCTGAAGGACGGCGCGGTGCGTCTAAAGTGTTTTAAAGGTTCGAGGTAGGGAAATAAAGAGTATGTCTAGGCCATAGTAAATGATATTGAGTCGTTGCCTAGTGTCTCCGGCTGCGAATTAAGGCTATAATGTAGATCCCGACTAGACAGTTTGCATTTGTCAATATGGTACAGTAGTTTCATAAACTAATATGTCTTGATTTGGCTGCTGTCTTCTGCTAACGTACAACGACGAAAAACATTGCCCCTAAAGTTTGGTAGTAATTACGCATACGTGACCGGTGTCCTGATCACCATATGACGCTCACTTAATTTCCAGCAAGTGTACGGGCTGCTCTCAAATGCCCTTGTACGGCGGAGGGTGGGGCGAATCGGCTCTCAAAATGCTCACATCGTCGCGTGTATATAGCCACTGTCGGGGACGTCCTACTCCCTTGTCGCGGCGGACGTTTTGTTTGTGGGATTGAAAAGACGAAAAGCGAATGTCCGGCGCTTTAACAGGGTTGGTAAATACGGAGAATTCCTATAGAGGATTTGGAAAACACTGATTCCGATCCAGCGGTGCACATGGGGTCTAGGATCCTGAGGAAACAAAAGACGTATAACGCTATTGTTGATTACTGACTACCATTGAACTGCATCTACTTTCATTGTTTCAATGCCTTGTTGGTCAGGTCTTTAGGTTTGGGCACCCAGGCAGTATCACAGCTCACACACAACTCAAGTGACTTGAGTGACTCATATGTATTCGATGCCCCTTTGTATCAATGTTTGTGTGTTCAAATAAATAAAATACACGGGCTGGATGCGTGTCTGTCCATTGGTTGCAGCAGCCTGCTTTTTATTACATGAAATCCCTGGGAGGAAGTTTTATAAATTAGAGGACATGTGTAGTTTGTTATCCTACAGTCTTCGGAGTTTCACTCATGTTAGTGCTATTGTTGTCATGATTAAGGTTCTAGGTAAAGTTGGCGAACCTACAGAGGTTTCACTTCGCCATGGACTGTAGTGGCTAGGCACGCGCAGTACGTTCTAACCATCGTTCCTTTGACACGTGTATCTTCATCGACTGAGATCGTTGGGCCACGTGATGCGTATGCCTAAACACCGATTACCACGATGGGCAATGCTGACTAGTGTACGAGATGATTGGAAGAAAGTTAGGGGCGGCCAAACTAAAACGTAGCATCAGTCATTGAAGTCACTAACTTCCAGTTAGAACCATGTTGGTAGATGCAGACTACTTGGTTATGGTTCGCGTGACTACCGTAACTGATGGTTGGAGACTTAGTGATATGACTCGAAATCGATCACAATGGCGTCGGGGTTTTCTTATTATTTATTTTAACACATAGAAATTGGTACAAGGAAGCACCGAATACATATGCGTCACACAGACCTCATTTGATATGTGTGAGGGCTGTAATACTGCCCGGGTGCCCAAACCGAAGCAGGTGGTTTTTTAGGGGGTCACACCCGGGGCCTTTGACCTGAAGTTCTGATCCACAAGGTAGTGGAGCATCATAAGGAGATGCAGTCCCATGGAAGCCGGTGACCAACGATTGGTTCATACTAAATTTTTTCCTTCAGGATCATGGAGCCTATATTTACCTTTGGTTTGGAATCAGAGTTTTCCAACTCCCCTAGGTAGATCCTCTATATCCACCAACTCGGATTAAGCGTCGGAAATCCGCTTTTCGTAAACAACACCGTCAATAGAAGGCAATGAGTAGGACTTCTCCGGCAGAGGCTATATACGCGTAACCATGTGAGAACATTTGGAGAGGGAGAGCGGACTCTCCCCACTCTCGGCCGTACCAGGACATTTTGGGACTCTTCCTGTACTATATCCTTATGTACAATCTTTCTTTTATATATTACCACCATTGAATTAACTACTTCATGAATCCTGTGTTCATCTTGTTGTGCTAATGAGGTATGGCAACTTGGACCTATGTACACATGTACCTGGTCCTACGTTGTAGCTGACTGGCTGACTGAGTAATACCAATGTTATAGCATATAAGATAGTTATAAGACCAAAATCAGGGTGTTTAAGCACTATTCTTAGTTACTAAATGCTAATCTAGGTCGAATAGGAAGATCTAGGTTCTCTTCAGGTACCAGTAATAATTACAACCTCTGGTAGATCCTTAGGTAACATAACTTAAATCTAATCGCAGTGATAGACATGTATCTGTTATTCTACCTTCGATTTCAACCATTGTTTTACATTTTGATATTCATTTTTTGAGCCATCTATATCTTAATTGTCAATATTACAGCACTTAGTATTTAAATTTTCCACGTCCACCAATGTGAGCTGACACAAAGCTGTGTACATTCGTACACGACCTGTATCAATTTTCGATCGGTTAAAGCATTCTTTTCCACGGTATTGCCATACTAAAAAGTATATAACTTGCATAAGACAATCCTATTCGGCTCTAAATTACTTGGTATCTTTATTCACAAATCTCATTAATTCCATGTAAACCTTTTGTCCTTTTTCAGCTTAACATAGCGTTTCCGTCCAATGGGACTCAAAAGTGTATTGAGGTCGATGAAGAACTTAAACTTCGCCCATTTTATGATAAACGTATGTCCCATGAGCTTCCAGTTGACTTTCTGGGGGACGAATGGAAAGGATACATAATGCGCATAACTGGTGGAAATGATAAACAGGGTTTCCCTATGAAACAAGGAGTTTTAACTAATGGCCGTGTCAAATTGCTGTTGAGCAAAGGAAGTTCATGCTATCGTCCTAGACGTAAAGGAGAACGACGACGCAAGAGCGTACGTGGTTGTATAGTTGATAGTAACTTAAGTGTCCTTAATCTGGTTGTTGTACGCAAAGGAGAAAACGATATCCCTGGCTTGACTGACGTCAGTATCCCTCGACGCCTTGGGCCTAAGAGAGCTTCAAAAATTAGGAAATTGTTTAATCTGTCGAAGAAGGATAATGTTTGTCAGTTCGTTGTGCGGAAGCCTGTCCCAGCTAAAGAAGGAAAGAAAGAGCGTTCCAAAGCTCCGAAGATTCAGCGTTTAACAACACCTCTGAGATTACAGCGTAGACGCCGAAGGCATGCACTGAAGCGTCAGCGCATAGAAACCCGCAGAAAGACACAAGAAGAATACGCCAAATTGCTTGCTCAGCGCCGAAAACAGGCTCGCGATGAGCGTGCAGAACGCAAGCGGTCGCGAAGTCACTCCTTACGTGAATCTAAAGGACAAACAGATAAAAGTGCATCATAAAATTGTCTAACTACAAATAAATATGTGGATAAATTTGCGTGTTCTCAATGTTTCTGATGTGTTGTTTGAAGAGTTAGCTATTCAGAAAAGTTCACTTGGGTGAATTTAATGTTTTATTTACAGGATTACATTTAAGTGTTTCATATCTATACAAAACACGTTACAGATTAAGCGTAGTGTCTTGAACTCCGATTGTAATATAAAATCTACAAACTGATGGCTTCTTGATTTATTACGGCCCGATTCTTAAGTCTAAGCCAAACACTTGTAATAAGTTTAAACAGAACAGGGACAACAGGATTTGCAGAGTAAAATGAATTTGTCCGTCTATTTTACGTTTTCTCATCAGTCAGCTACAACGTAGGAACCAGGTACATATATGTATCGGTCCAAGTTGTCATACCTCAGCACAACAGGATAAACACCAAACTCATTGAAGCAGTTACTTCAATCGTAGTAAAAAGATTTCACATAGGGATATGATACAGGGAGGAAGAATTACTTCGTTGAAAGATATAAAGTTATTACAGTTTCTCATCAGTTGCATACAACCCAAGATTACAATCATTGTTATAATTACTAACAAACGTTTAGCATTCTATAGTTTGTGAAATTTAGATAAATGTTCTAAACGTAGCCAAAACTATAATAATTAAAATAATAGGGATACAAAGTTTATGAATAGACATAGTTATGACCGATGTGTATTTATTTGTTGGGAAGTTAAGAATTCTAAGGTCATGTCAAGGTAATGAAATTAATAACTTACTATGCGATCGGTCATAATAAAATAAAGGAATATGTGGACATTAGAATATGTAAGAGTTAGATATCAAAAGACAATAAAAACAAGCATTTGGGGACAGTTAGAAAAGAATCGAAAATGAATAGAGGTTATTGGGTAAGTATCCAGTCACTATGTCAGCCAAAGGCTAACTACACCTTGTACGCATAGGTTAGGTCGGGGACGTTTTATGGTGACTGAGCAGGTTATCTCTCATATTCAACTGTAATCATTTCGTTGGGACGAGTTATCGAAGTGACTAAGTAACGGAGAGGTATGGTCCATATCATCAGCATATCTGGAGTAGTATGTACATTAGTTTCGTTTTTTAGGTTAGCCATGAAGATATCGGCCAAGATGGGTCCTAGTGGTGATCCTGTGGCCGCTCCGTCAGTTTGTTTGTATAACTGGTTGTTGGATTGGAAACGAATCCCGTTTCGCGCAAAGGAGTAACTCGCTTTGAGGTTAAAGAAGTAATTCAGAGTGTTTGCTAGCTATACTATTTGCTCCTAATGTTATACTCATAAATAATGAACACATAATATACCGTGAATCTGTCGGATGTGTTCAAATGATCCATTTCTTTGGAACTAAACTATTGGTCCTCAGTGTTCTACAAATTGGTTCTAATAATTTAGCCAACTTATGATTTGGTGAATCAATCATAGACATTATAGGTCTTAACGGGATGTTGGGTTTGTGCACTTTATTAAGACCATGTACGAAAAGCAGTCGTGATCCTTTTGCCTTCAGATTCTTGTTAGTTGAATCATCAATCAGTTCATTAAGACTTTTGTTGACTGTTTTCGATTGTTGCGATGGTACCTTAGATTTGTTAATTTGATATCTTAGTGTATCATTGTTAATTTGGGACATTTTATGCATATATTCTTTTCAATTCAGTATTACATCGGGACATTTTATACATGTAGTGTTTTTGAGGATTTGTTAACAATTATATTAGTAGTTATAATTTAAGTTGTATGCAGCTTATGAAAAACCGTGAAATAGACTGATGAGTTCATTTTATTGTACAAACCTTTTTTTTGGTCTGTTTAGATTTATCAATGGATTTATTTGTATGAAACTCGTAATAAGATCTGAATATGACGTTTAATAGTAATTTCTGTTGCAGGAATCTTCATCACATTCGAGTTAATCAGTGTTTTGTAGGCATATGGAGTTACGTCATTACATAGTTCACTTACGGTGGATGTCCATACTTTCGTTCTTTGTGGTTCGTTTTTGAACCGATTTTCAGAATATACCAGTTAAAGTATAAATGGGACAATTCTGAAATTATCATATTGTGTTCTAACTGAGTTTGGTCTGTTAAATGCGATAACAATAAGGGAAGGCTTTTTAATTTGATCGATTTTACAATATTTAGTCATCGATGTTCCCAAATTCCCTCTCATGTATTCCACTTTGTGCTGTTGCCACGTAGTCTGATTTTTCCAAGGTTCCGCTTTTCCTTTGGGACGTTATCGTTTTCAGTTGATCGATTTCCTTCCAAGAACATCATCTGCATCGAATTTCTATGATGTTCATAAACTATATTAGGATGTACATTTCACTTCTGTCACTGATCATAAGAACATTCCTATAAGCACAAAATAAAGCATTACTCATCATGACTTGTTGCTCATTTAGATTCAGTTAGTCAGCCAGTACACATTATTACAATAGGTTAATTTTATTTTTAAAAATCTAAAAGAGTTGAATTGATTGGTAAACGATATTTAATAAAACTTCAAACAAAGGCCATTTGTGACCAGCTTTATATATAATCATCTGCGTTTTAGATGGTGGTTGGAGGTAGTCAACAGGAAACCCTGGACCCGGGTTTCGTGCTACTTGGCACTCGTCAGCAAGGTGTACCTGTAATCTTGAGGGAACTGATGCTCCCTGGCGGATTCGATCTCGTGTCACCCAGCTTCACAGTCGATAGCATTCGATCTGCACTAATAAGGACTAGACAAGCATGACATTGATCACCACCCAGTGATCAATCAATGTGATTACATCTCAGTCCTACAGGAGGTTGGTCACGGCTCGGATAGCTCAGTGGTAACGTCTCTGACTGTGAAGCTGGGTGACACGAGATCGAATCCGCCAGGGAGCATCAGTTCCCTCAAGATTACAGGTACACCTTGCTGACGAGTGCCAAGTAGCACGAAACCCGGGTCCAGGGTTTCCTGTTGACTACCTCCAACCACCATCTAAATCTCAGTACATAGTACCCGCAGTGTCGAGTCACCTAGACTGGTGGCCACATTGCAACATGATCGATAGCATTCGATCTGCACTAATAAGGACTAGACAAGCATGACATTGATCACCACCCAGTGATCAATCAATTGTGAATCATCTGCGTTATTTAACAAAACTGGCTATTCATATTCGTGTTTGCTTTGTTAGTATACCAACGAAAAAAAGATTTACTACTATAATTATAGAGTTTCATAAAGTCTGTTATCAATCTTACATTTTTCATGTTGCAGTTTATTTGATTGATCGTGGAGATTTGATCGTTACTTGAGATGATTTTCGTCATTCAAACTAAGAGACACTGGAAACTTGCTTTGTTTTTAGTTTGGAACGTTTTGCCAGTGTACAGCCAAGATCCTGAAAGGGACCGTTTATTAATTAATAACTAGTCTCGAGATGAATTCCCGAAGTTGTGAGAATTTGTGACTGTTGCAGTTCAACAATGTGGAAAGCAAGATAGGTACCACCGATTACAATGTACAGTCGTTACTCATCACAATTCGACTGAAGTTGGGAATTTGAATTATTAAAATACAATTCAGTTGCCTAACTTTTTTTCGCGAGAATTGGAGAACAGTGTATGATAAGAGTACTCATTAGTGGACAGTTATTGATTATGACTAAAATAAGTCTACAGTACTTCCTGGTTATCAATACTTTCCCATTTAAGGTCAATCTGTGATGAAATCAATTAGAGCAGTTTTTAGCTTAGTCAAAATCCTACTTCCAATATTTATGCAGGTGAGATTTATGGACAAACAGAGTGAGAGAGATGATACCATAATCGACCACAATGAACATGTCCTAAATGCTATCAATAGGTTAGATAACATGATAAATTTGGTAGCGATCATGAAATAAGAATAAAGTATTTATAAGGAAGTAGAAACTGATGAACTTATCTTGGATACCAACCCAGTGGTCTTAAATCTAAGCACTCGACCTGAGACCTGGATGACCTGAGTTCGATCGCTTGATAAGTCATGAAAGGTCCCTGTTGAGGAGTTCCGCACTAAGACAAAACAACAGACCAGTCCTTCCTGGTGTTCAATTATTGTATAACTAATGTCAGTTCGAGATATCAACGATACCTCAAAACTCAACTAGCAATAACCAATACATTCACTAAACTCGAGAAGCAATTCCCAGAGTTCTGCTGAGATGTAGCCGGTAAAGTTGGAAGTATATTGTGGATTTTCACTAATTATTGTGATCTTAGCGGTAAAGTATGTGCTGGCATACCATATGTAGAATTAGTTTTACTAGGAATGTTTGGTGGAATTATTCGCATGAAACAAGATGTAAATATTTGTCAAATTTGTTCAAATTTTCTATTTTAGAAAGAACGCCTCATTACATTATAGCACTTTTCGTTTATTTATCAGATCCAGTACAAATGAACCAATATATTCCGATTATTTTCAAAAAATGTGAACAATTAATCCGTTTCCGAATGTTATCATCGTCATCGATTGTATATTCATCATCGTCAGTTCCTCCACATATTCCAATTATGAAATCAGAAATTGTAAAATACACCCAACCGAAACCAGGTCAAGTTAGTGATCTACTTGTCTTGTTTTATCGCTTTTTTTAATAAACAAATAAACAATCAGGAACTACAGTCTTAAGTATACCGACCAACTCCGATCCGATCACATGGTGGATAAATAGTGCAAGTTTAATTGTACATGGCTCTTGTAAGTGAATTATGCACTTAGGATACCTACCCATAATGAATAGCTCTGTCGAGGTCAGTTCGACCATATATGTGTATACGCGAGAATCACAAGCATTATTATTTGTATTTTGGGAGTAAAGACGCCCACGAAGTCTTTGTTCTTCTTCTCCCACATAATTAAGCTGGTCGTTTTTCAGAAGCGTACTTTAGTGATGGAATCAAACAGTAAAATGCGACGACTTCGTCACTTTGACTTCCATAGTCTAATATACTACGTCAGTGTTAAGAAGATGTAACTCAGTTGTCAGTTATCTAAAAGGAAGAGGAGACTATGACACACTTACGTAGTTACTGGATAAATTCGCGTCGATTACAATTACTTTTTTAAATCATGGGAAGAACTGATAGATCAGTCAATCGATCATAGTTAATATATAACCTGACACAGATGTTCAATAGTCAAAGATTTTCTGCTTTCTATCAGCAGAGCAAGCGGAAATTCTAAGACGCGAAAAACCATAAGATTCAAACGTGATCATGATATTAATAATATCAAACAGCAGACAAAATGTGGTTCAATAAAAAGGAGTGGTTATCTCCACGTCAATACAATCTACTTTGAACTATTTCGTTGCTATGATGATAGATACTTCTGGTTATGTTTGATTTATTCATTGCTTTCTACAATAATGTTTAGGTAATTAGGTTAAAGGTGTATAACTTACGCAGTAGTTCTCTCTGTTATTTTGTAAGTGAAAATATAGTCACTTATAATCAAATCATCAAATAAGCAGCGCTATTGTTAGGCTTTCATATGTATTCTTATAAAAAACGAATATGATTCAAATTTGGATGCTACTATCGTATATCACAAACTTCAATTTATTAATTTATTTGAACACATAAATATTGGTACAAAGGAGCATCGAATACATATGCGCCACACAAGTCACTTGATTTGTGTGCGGGCTATGATACTGTCCGGGAGCTCAGACAAAAGCAGGTGGTTCTCTTAGGGGGTCACACCTGGAGCCTTCGACCTAAAGGTCTGATCCACAAGGCAGTAGAGCGATGTAAGGAGATGCAGTCCCCATAGTAGTCGGTGACTAATGATTGGTTCACACGCTATTTGTTCTTTCAAGATCCTGGAGCCCTGTTGCACCATTGGTTTGGAATCAGCGTTTTCCAACTTCTCTATGTTGATTTTCTGTGTCCACCAACCCGGTTAAATCACTGGGCACTCTTTTCGTCCTGTCAATTTCATACACAACTCTTCCGCGGAGAGAAGGCAGTGAGTAGGAATTCCCTGGGAGTGTTCGTATGCACATGACCATGTGAGAGCATTTGGAGAGGGAGAGCTGACTTCCCCCACCCTTGGCCGTACCAGGGCATTTCATTAATCATTTTTCAGTCAGTTGTATTAAAGTTTAGTTGTTTATCCTTATTGTACATTGACTAACTGCCATTTAGTAACCACTGTCATGTTTCCCTTGTTATTTTTAATGGTGATGGACCAATTTTTATGTGGTCATTAGTTTAAGTGACTCGATGTCAAGTGCACTGTTTAGATCTTAAATGATTACCAGGATTCAGGAGAAAAATTCCCCTAACCTAGCTTTCGCATCAGCTATTGTTTGTCAGCTGGTGCGTACCTGTAGTATTAAGAGAACCGTAATCTATGTGGGAATCGAGTCAGCATCACTCTGTTTCACATTCTACGACGTTACTACTCAGCTGTTCAAACCACGGCTAACTTTCTATATGGCTGAGCTGTTTACATTGATTGGTCAGTGAATGGTACGAAATGTTATGTTCGTCTATAGTCTCTTACTTCTGACTGAACTCTGTTGATCAAGGTACAATGTGGCCACATGATTGCATGTACGCCTTGATGACGAGTGCCAGCTATTACGAAACCTAGTTCAAGGATCTTTTTCTGTCGACTGCCTTATATCACTTAACATGTTCCTATTATAGTTTGGTTTAATATTATCCTAAAAGTTATCATTTTCACATAATTTCTCGTGGATTTTGTCGTAAAGCTTTAATATTAGTACAACTAATTAACTAAATATTGCTTTCTTGTATTTGGGTTTATACCTGATACTACGTCTAACGATTTTGACCTTAGCAATCAGATCTTAATTGATTGGAGAATTCGATGTACAAATGAAATTCGTTCAATGGCCAATAAAATTCTATCATGCTTATTTTATGTTTATATTCTGTGTATAAATATGTTATCTTTTAACATAAAAATCCCATTTGTCCAACTAACTAGTCTTGTCTGCTTTCTAATCATGAAGAGAGTCTTAAGTCAATAGTATGATCTCATGAGTATTCTTCACTTGGTTACTTCATGTCATTGTGTTCACCTATTGACTGACACTCTATTCAATGACTTCGACAGACAAGGATTCAGTTCATTAAATCATTAAGAACTTCCTCTATAACTGTACCATATTCATCATATAACCATTAATGAATGTCACTATCGGACAAAAGTTGACAATTCGTAAATAAAATTGTTTGATAATAAAAGCATCTCTTTTTTCCTAAATAATGAGTAGGATTTTGCTTTGATTGATGTTAGGGAGATCTAGAAAATTCGTCGAAAGCCAAAAAAGGCTTTGAAAACGTTGAGAAACATCTTATCTAATCAGCATTCAATAGAAGTTTTACCAGAAACATCTAGAAAGTGAAAAGTCACGTACCGAGTTACTGATTTGGTGATTACTTATACTACTACTATGTTTAGTAGCATTCCAGAATTTTCCGCAAACCTAGAGACATCTAAAATACCATAAAACCCCCAAATTTCCTGAACATAAAGGAACCATATTTCGCGCCTTTTCTCTCGTGTTCAAGTCGCTGTGTAGATCCAGCCTGGGGGTTATTAGAAGAGTTTGGGAACCGAATCTAGGGCTTAATTGAAAGGCTTATCAATTGATATTTTTTAAATGTTTCACACGACTAATATACATTGCGTATTTTGGAATCATATTGAAAGTTTGTAGCTGATGTAGATAGAGAAACAAAGAAGTGACAAACAACAGGAGTTATTTTTGGAAACATTATTCCACTTGATTCAAAGTTAGTAAGATACCAACATTTAGTTTTGTCTATGGTTTATTCTATAAACCATAAGCTTTCGTTTGATACATGATTCGCTGCCATACTTTTTTCTATTCAAAAATTGTTATGATTTATCTGTAACCTTTTCCACTACATTTTCCCTATCCTAATTCTATATGGGTTATGGTCGTGTTAGTCATCTATTCATTCATGTGTCTTTTTTCATTGATGTGAATCAATAATAAATCGGGTAGTGCTCCAGCCAATTTGTCTCTTCTCTCTCTCTTGTCAACCAATCAGGTCCTAGAGTAGTTTTCGTCTCTCTGTCACCAAGGTTTCACACATTATTAGCCTCGAAACTGAAGTAGATAGCCTATCATGCCAAGACCTTAAACTAGATCGAGATAAATTCTCTCCTGTATATTAGTGGACAAATGAATCAAGGAAGTAACAGTAGCTTAATGTTTTAAACACTGAACTTTCAATTATATAACTATAAATTTTAAACACTAACCCATCTAATTCAGCTTTGACAAGGTGAATATACAATAAATAGATAGAAATTCTATACTGATTACTTCAAGAATTCATTTTCCTTTTTATTCATTCATTTAATCTAGGTTTATTTAGATATGACTTTTGGTACAGGAGGTCATGCAAATGAAATATTGAAATATGCTGCCGATAATTTAACTTGTTACTTTCTAGACCGTGATCCAACAAGTTTCTCATTTATGGAATCACTTCGTACAAATTATAGCTCATCCAAGTAAGTTTCTTTCATATTCTATATATGATATATTGAATTGTTTTCTGGGAAGAAAAGAAATTGATTAGAGTAGTTCAGTATTGTATTATTCTGTAGTGAACACGAACACAAGTGGGGACAATCGAATGTGTTTGATACGAAATTACAGAGCATCTCAATAAAATCTGAGAACCATATTGTAAATAGTTAATTTGCAAAATATCAATCCATCGTCTCAAACTTCACTGTTCCTTTTGCAAATATCAGTCCATTGTCTCAGATTTCGTTGTTCTACGCATTTTCATACCAACTACGTTTCGTTCCCGTTCTTTCCTTATCGATCTTCTACTGAAATACATTCTATGCCTGATCATCGTTATATACTACTTATGTGGATATAAGTAGCTCACACAACAATTCTAACTAATAACAAAACTAAATGATGAAAGTATTTTCTAAGCTAAATTCTATTGTATAATTTTTCAAAACTTACAAAGTTAATATGCAAAATAAGAAAAGAGTAGACAACAGTAACTTGTCCTATCAGACAACGTAGCTAATTATTAATGATGTATTAAGTATATTAACAGTCAGTCAACGATGTAGAACCGGGAACATAAGTACTATTTGAATTTTCCACTCCATATCAATACAGCGAGATTAAGTTATCAAGATAGATCCCAGAGTAGTAAAAGTATTAACAATGTTAGTAGCATTAGAAAAGATTAGACATAGACAACATGATTCGAGAAAAGTGAATGAACTTGCGGACTAGAAAGATGTAGGGTAAGACAAGGAGTGAATGTGTCTACACCATTGTGACTGGTTCTGCGCCATTCCACTCAACGTTACCAACCATTGGTTACGGTAATGATGTTGACTCCAACTTGTTAGTCTGCATCTATCAACACAACTCAGTTCAACAGTCAATGACTTCATAGACTGATGCCTCGTTTTGGTTTGTTTGTAGTAACAGTATTCAATATAAAGTCCTTATGTCTTTCACATAGTTGCAATATGAGTTGCCTTAGGGAACAGTTAACATATGAATCGGTAGGATATTGATAAAAAATACCCAGTTTTCAACCTCAGGATCACATGTTTTATGCCATACTTTACTGGCTAGTGTCACTACTCTTACTCTCGAAAATATATGGGTTAAATCTCCGATGACACAATTAAGAACTGTTTTGTGAAATCAAACTTAGGTCAAGCAACAAACCGACTTTCATTCTGCCGTCTCATCTATCATCCCCTCATGATTGGAGAGAGAGAGACTATGAAACTGGATTAAATATTTAGAGGTGCCTTCTTGTACCAATATTTATGTGTTTAAATGAATAATAATTTTATCAAAACTGTACGTTATAGTCATTGTTTTCAGTTAAATTCCTGCTCGTAAACGGCACCAATTTGTAATATTAGAATTGCAAGTTTAAATCCCACAAAGAACGTCAGTTCCTTCAAGGTTTCAGATACGCCTTGTTTCTAGTGCGTACTAACCTGCATGGAACATCTCGTCTTGATTACTTCCAGCCACCTAACATTTAAACACTATGCGGACCCTACCGAGTCACCTATACTAGTGGTCAAATTATAAATCGATCGATGGATTTCGATTAGCAATAAAAGACTAAGTGATATGATATTAATCAAGCTTTATGCGTCTTTTCCTCTACTTTCGTTTTATATTAGTCATAAAATATATCCACTTATTGGACGATTTAGTGATCTTCCTCAATTATTAAGTGGCTATGATCTGAAATATCAATCAGTTGATTTAATTCTTATGGATTTGGGTGTAAGTTCACCACAATTAGACAATGAATCTCGTGGATTTGGTTTTAAACATAATGCTCCGTTAGATATGCGTATGAATCAAAGTCGAAATGTACAGTAAGTTTAAAGATGTTAATTTGATCATCGGCTTTTTCTAGTTTACATGTAAGTAGTTTGTTCAGTGAATAAACAGACTGAAGCCATGAAAACTTCATATCCAAAACATCAGAGTAAGCCAATCTCATCTCCTAGAAATACATATATCCCGTTTCTGTTTTCATTATTCAAAATATCTCTAGAAGTTCTCAAAAGTCTAGCACTTCAGACGCCTCATTGTTTATCATCTTTTCCTAAACCACAAATATTCTCGTAGTCGTGCACACAAATGATTATTTCAAATTTAGTTCTCCAGCGTTTATCCAAACTTCGAGTTGACGATTGGAAAGCACAGGACATTGTATATGTCCAATGTTTCTGTTATGTTCTACTGTCGTTCAAGTCTTCTAGTGATATATATGCTTCCTATATGACTGCTCGAACCAACTATACTTGAATGAAAAAACCAATAGTGAGTTAGAAGCTTCCATTGGTTAACTGGATCAAAATGTATTCATAAACCCATTTGTTGATACTAACATATGTGTTTCAAAAAAAGGTGAGGCCCGATTTTCAATCAACAGCGCGTATCTGTTCCCTCGGAAAATCAAACCAAATATTGACCAGTAACATGTACCTGTCATCATCTCTACTGATCATTTGACCTTAAACCGATAGATCTGATTGCCCTAACCTATAAGCTTCTATTCACACGAAAAGTTCACGCATAGTAATGATCTTTTATTATCTTTTCAAACTATTCAAATCAGTAGTAATGTAGTGAACGAAGACTTGGTGAAGAAAACCAATTTGTTGTTTAATACGAAATTACAGAATGTCTTCGTGTAAAATATGAAAACCATACATTAAGTACTTCATTCACACATCTTCCATCAGTTGTCCTTTACGTACTTCATGATACTTTAATTTCTGTTGTTATTACAATTACTTTCTGTTTCTCATTCTGTTCTCTTCAATTGAATCTTCTCAATCTTCTACTGTCATACAACAACAAGTACGGAGCTAACACAAAAATTACCCATAAAAAGGTCGTGTGTGACCGACCTCAAGCAGTTGTCCCTTGGGCACTGCGGTCACGCTCTCAAGTCACTAAAACCACCTCTAATCCAATTTCAGGTACCTACAGAAGAACCCTTCCACGGTGTGGGCAACCGAGAAGTGATAACCGCCCTCATACCTCTAACAGTACTCAAGATACATTCCACTTTCTATTGATGCTACGTACTACTTATATCCGTCAACTTAAGTAACATACACCACAGTAGTAGAACAGAATAAGCACAAACAACATAATACGAGAGGAAAGAATGAATTCAGAGGATAAAACGTATAAGATAATCTTAAAACTCAAGATCTAAGAAAAGGTCTGAAAAACTACTATTATTTCGTTTTATGTGGAACTAAACAATCAACATATGTTGTTATCAATTGTTTCAAAATTCAGATTTCCTCAAAATAGTAGCATAAATGAAATGATAGTAGGCATTATGTAGGGTGTATTTCAGTGAAAATGCTGGAATGTTTATTCTCCTTTCTTCTTATTCTCTATAAATTTTGTTTAATTGATCAGTTAGTCATATGTAACATCGAGTCTGGCGTATGTGTAGATCAGTTCAGGTTACTATTCTCCATTAAGACAGCGATGTGAAGTTTTCAAAGCAAATTCCAGAGTAGTAGAGATAGTAACAATATTGAGATATAGGGTGGTGGTTGGAGATAGTCGGTAGGAAACTTTGAACGACTAGTTTCTTCAAGTTTATAGGTACACCTTGCTGATGAGTTCCAAGTAGGATGAAACCTTGGTCCTGTCGACCACCTCCAATCAACACCTTTCATCTCAATATTTTGCACACGTCGAGCTACTTAGGCTACTGACCACGTTACGAATTGATTCGGCCTACATGATCAATCTGTTGCATTAGTAACAGTATTAGTGGTAATAAAAAATTAGGTATTAAAGGCACAATTTGAGGAAATATGAGTTAGTGAAATAAAAAAGATTATAGGGAACTTGAAAACTCATGATCTAAGAGGAGATAAATAATGAATACATCTGGACTATTAAGAACGACTTTGAGCCATGCCACTTACAGATCTTAAACACTGGTTACCGTAATCGTGTAGACTCCAATCAGGTAGTCTACACCTACCTACGTGATTCAGTCCGATAGTAACTGTCTTCATGAACTAATACCACGTCTTTGTTTGGCTTCTTTTATCTTTCTTCCGAACAAATCCTGCCACCAGCCATCGTTGTGCGGTAAGGTAGTCGATGGATGGAGAACAATATATATCCTAACCGTCCCAGTCGATAAAGATTTACTACTTCATCAATCCATTTGCCATATTTACCATGTACTATGGATTAATCCGATGATTCCAAAATATATAAGCAGTGCCTCGAAGACTGTTAATCAGTTGGATGATTACCAAACTTGTCACTAAAGTGTGCATATGAGATTTATACCCTCGTCTTAAAATCAGTCAACATGTTTATTTGAAGGTTTAACACTTCCAGTAGCTCCTGAAATCATTAATATCTTTTATAATGATTATTATCATCGGTTATATTTCATGTTCAAATTGGTAGGTGTGTGAATACCTTAATATCTCAATACTTATTATGCTTTGTCCAATGAGACTATTAATGTTGTGGGCCATAGCTATCATCGTGGTGCTATGTATACACGTGACTTTGAATTCACTGTTTTATCCTAATAGTTAAACCTAATTACTATTACTTAGTCCTGTTATTCATCGTGATCATAGGCCGCCGACCAGGATTCTGCAACAAACAATGTTCTGGGCTCTTCTTTCCAGCTTTTGCCATGTTTTATTCATTCTTGTGATGTCTACCTCCAATTCCCCGCTCATTGTGTTCTTTTGTCTCCCTCCTTTCCTTTGACATTGAGGATTTTGAACCGGAACTTGTTTTGTAATGCAGTTTGACGATTTCCGTTAAGTGTAACCCACCCACCTCCAGCGTCTTTTCTTGACTTCCTTCTCAGCCGGAAGCTGGTTTGTTCTCTATCACAGTGGTTTGTTGCTGATTTGTCCGGCCAACATATTTGGAATACCTTATGTAGAAAATTGTTTGTAAATATGTATACTATTTTGATAATGTTTGTGGTGGTTCTTCAAGTTTCAGCTCCGTGCACAACAGGAAACTATTTAGAGCTTTCTGGGCATTTGTTTTGAAACTTGTGACGTTGGTGTTTGCTGATGGTTGTTTTGAGTTCCATTTGTTCTTCAACTGTAGGAATGTTCTTGCTTTTCCGATCCGTGTCTTCAAATTTATATCAAATTATCCTTGTTTATCAACGATGTTGTCCAAGTGTGTAAAAGTTTCCACGTCTAAAGCATTTCCATCAGGTGTGATTTTTTTTACTGCTCACTTTGTTGTATTTGAGGGTCTTGCTTTTTCTCTTGTATATGTTATGGTCTACTGCTGCAGAGGCTGCTACTACACTGGATATCTTCACCTGGATTTGTTGGCATGTATGGAACCCTTCTAGAGTTACTGCCAGTCCCAAGTCTGGACAAAGAAAGAGGGTTTGACATGGGGTCAGGAATCTGATCATTTATGAAAAGAAACTTGCTTAAAAATGCTAGGCCGAAAAGTCATTTTTAATTATTATTACCTACCTAAATTTATTTTCATTTCACCAAAATGTTACTCATCATTGTGCAATCATTCGTCTAATGACATTTATAATTTTATTGAGATCACAAATCGATGTCACTTCGATAACCACTGAAAACCTGAATGCACTGGATAACAGTTTCGTTTTAGTATGGGACTCCTTTGCACTGTGTATCGATGATCCAGCAACTGGGGATCAAACCCAGGATCTACGGTTTCACGCTTCTAAACCACTGAAACGAAAACAAATGGTACGACTTACACCAAACCCGGGGCATTACTTAACCATTATTCATTGTCTTCGGTGAGTAATTTCTTCATACCTGACAGGGTTGAACTTCACTGTTCATGCTTCCAAGTTTTCAGTGGTTGTCTAACTTAGATCTGTTTGTTGTTTCAATAAAGTTCAGCAGACTTCGTAATCCAATGCTAATAATCATAACTTTGTAGTATTAACCTTCTTGTTAAAGTGTAGTCTAACTTCTTCTTCAAGACCGATCAAACAATACTAATTGTAATTAATATATAACAGTACTTTCAAAATTTCTAAAATTTTCCTACCTACTACTCTGTATAATGTCAACTTTAAAACTTGTGAATAACCCACTCTCTATATTGGCCTTAATCTGTATGTTGCAGAAAAGATACACCAACTGCAGCTGATGTTATTAATACATTGAATGCTGACGAACTGTCGAATATATTCAGCATTTATGGTGAAGAACGTTTTTCCAGGCGTATCGCAAACGCTATTGTTGATTATAGAAATGATGCTGGTTCAATTCAAACAACAAAACAGTTAGCTGATTTAGTTCATTCTGTTGTACCAGTGAATAGAGAAGATAGAGGGTAAGTAAAACTACACCAATACAAGTGTTTGGTTTCATGTATATTTCCAAGTTGTCGTTATAAATTGAATAAATAGTACTTTTGTTGTGTTTTCAATTATTCAGCTATGTATACCTATGATATACTCATCATAAGATTTGAAAATTCTGGGTTCTATACTTATTGAAGAGTATTTCCAATTTAAGATGAAACTCTGGAAGAAATCCACTCTATTGTTGGATAAAACATAGGTCAATGAGGAGAATTTCTTTCTCGACTGTCATTTACTAAACTTTCTAAATCGTATTTATGGTTATATGGAAGCGGTATGTTCAATCTCCTTTTTAAGATTGGTCTTGGGCCAATTGGACAACATTGATTTATCGGCCAGACCAATGACGTAGAAATCCGCACAAACAGTCCACAGTCTTTATCAGTCCTTCTTTTTACCTAGCCCTGCCTGTTAAGTCCAGAAAGCCAATCTCAGCCTCTGCGTTATGTATTTCAAACATGTTGGGTTTATATACCAACCAAACATACCGCATCGTGCCATAAAATGGAAAATAACATTTGTACAAGATCTAACTAAAAGTGGCTGTGAATGTGGGAGACTGTAATTAATGGACCGAGTATAACTCAAGAACGGTAAATCGTATAATGATAGTGATAGGGAAGATTTGTAGCTCGGGTGGATGATTTTGATGAAGTTTTGTTCTCTGAACTGGATGGTTTGGTCATGAAACTTTCATCGTTCTTCTGAACGACATCATCAGCACAAACTTCAGATAGAAGTGAAGTGTTCGAATAGTCTATGGGTCAAAATAAAGTTTATAATAAGAGGAACGTGAATATGAATAGTTTGGTTACTTAACAACTATATAGTAAAATATTTATGTATCGTATTGATCCATAAATAGTTCTCAAAAGTTACCATTCATAATTCTCATTGGGATATAACAGTACCTACACATTATACGAACGTTACACAACAGTAAGACAATACGACATCTTATCACTCATAATAATGTACACAGACAACTACAGACACTTATATAATTAAGAAATCGAGGAAATCCGAAAAATGACAGGAAATTTCTAGAAACATGAAATTAAAGTCAATCTGCAATCAATAGGCGACATGTCGACATGAACCTTATTAGCCATTCTATGCGGAAAATGTCAACCAATTTCTTGAACAGAAGTTAGTCGAACAAGATAGTCAACAGGAATATCAAGACAACTTAAGCTGATGCAACCGCCGAAGGCAACCATTCGGAGGTGATGTCATCAAAACTGGGGTATTTAGCACTTGTAAAGTAATTAAATAGCTCACACCCTAACCCTGAAGTTTGTAGGTATGCCTTGCTGTATATGAGTCTCAGGTTATACAAAATAAAATTTGTAAAGAGTTTCCTATCGACCACCTTCGACCGCCTAACTTCCTAACATTGTACTTAAGGTATCGATTCACTTAGACCAGTGATAATACTGTAACTTGGTTGATAGAATTCAATCAACACAGAAGTAGACACATATCATTGTTCACTATCCTATGACCAATCAATATTATATACGATCACATGTTTTCATCTCTCTCTACGTATTTATCATTCTTTTCAGCTCAATTCATCCAGCTACACGTATATTCCAAGCATTACGTATTTTTATTAATGACGAACTAAACGAATTATGCATCGGTCTAGAATTAGCTGAATTTTTATTAAAACCCGGTGGTTATTTAGTTGTTCTATCATTTCATTCATTAGAAGATCGTTTAATCAAATGGGCATTCCATTATGATTGTAAACATCTATCTTTATCAAAATATTTATCACAACGAAGTCTGAATTTTCAATGTACTAATAAAAGAAAAGAATATGAAAATGATGAAATATCAGATGGATCTCTGGGACAGATGAAATCGAAATGGAATTGTGTAAGTTAAATAATCCTGTGATAATCTAGGTTCTTGAATTATAATGTTTTCTACTACTAATAATAATGTTACTACTTCTGATAGTCCGACATTTATCTTAAATATTTTCATCTGATTGTATTGATATATGGTGAAAACTTGAACCGATGAACATATTTCCCAAGTTCAATGTTGTCTATAATTGGCCCCTGAATGATCTTGTACGACCGAGGGTGAAGAGAGTTCGTTCTCCCTTTCGAAATAATATCATATGGCCACGCGTATACAACCACCATCAGGGAAGTGTTGTTTACGAAATTGGGAATACGTAAGGCGAATATTCGGCGTATACACCGGGTTAGTAGATACAAAGGATTTTCCTAAGGGGGGTTGAGAACCCTGGTTACAAACCAATAGTGCACATGGGCCACTTCGACTATAGATAGCATACATCATCAGTGTACAACTTACATAATAAATCTAGTTAGTTCCATTTAGTGCACAGTTATTAATGTTTAATGTAGTAAATGAATAATAGTTCAAATAATACTTGATGGTAACTAATACTCCTGTGCTTAAAGCGAATTTTAAACCATTTAGAGCTCATTAACTGAATTCCTCCTCACTGCTAATGATTTAGCATTGACTACTACAGTCCGCGTTATTTCAAAAATTGTAAACTTTTGACTTATTCTTAAAAACAACCTAAAACTTATCAGATTCCTTTGTCATACAAACCGAAAAGATGATTTTAACAATGTACTGGTTTCATACTTCATACATTTGGTTTTATATCAGTTGTTTTCAACACCATGATGCTTTTTTTTCTTAAAGGTTATTGGACCTATAACTCCTACCGATTCGGAGATAGATTCTAATCCAAGAAGTCGTTCAGCCAAATTACGTATAGCGAAAAGAGCATAATTAAAAAAAGTGATTAAGGAAGCAATGACAATAAACGATTAGGTTACTGATCAAGGTGTATGATGTATAGAGTATTACATGTGTGGATAATACAATTCAGTTGAATTTTGTTAAACAGTCTCAATTCTGAAGCTATATTTTGTACATATTCAGTTTTTTTTTTAGAGAAATGTAATTGTACATATTTGTAATTATTGCACCAATTAAATTGATATAATCGATCTTACTTTCCATAAATATTGGTGGAGTGGGGCTTTTTTTCGTCACTTTGTATTTGTACAATTTCCTGTTATTAATATTCAGCACTAAAATTTATATCAGTTTCCGTCCCAATATATATACAACTTGAATTGACTTGCTTGATTAAGCCTGTTACCCCTCGTCGAGGAGCGTAGGCCATTCACCAACACTCTCCATCCAACTCTGTCATGGACAATCCTTTTTGGTTGCTATTCATCCTTTTGATGTCTGTTTCCAATTGCCGACGTAGCGTGTTCTTCGGGATTCCAGGTAAACGCTTGCTTCGTGATACAGTTTGGTGATTTCCGTAATGTATATCCCACCCACCTCCATCATCTTTTCCTAATTTCCTCTTCAGATGGAAGTCGGTTTGTTCTCTCCCACAGCTGTCTGTTGCTCGTGGTATTCGTTTAACGGACATTAATTGTAACTACTCGTATCTTTTTGATTATGGTTGTGATAGTTATCCCAGTTTCAGCTCCATACAGTAGAACTGTCTTGACATCCGTATTGCAGATTCCGATTTTGATATTTCTTGACAGTCCTCTCGAAATGCTCTCACATGACCACACGTATACAGCTACTACCAGGGAAGTCCTACTCACTGCCTTCTCGGGAAGGGGATGCTGTTTACGGAATAGAGAGAACGGAAAACAAATGTTCGGCGCTTTAACAGGGTTGGTGGTTATGGAGGATCCATCTAGGAGAGCTGGAAAACCCTGATTTCAAACAAATGGTGGACATGGGCTCCAGGATCCTAAGGAGACTAATGGCTTATGAACGTATCGTTGGTCACCAACTACCATGGGACTATATCTCCTAATGCTGCTCCACTGCCCTGTGGATCAGACTTTTAGGTCAAAAGCTCCGGGAGCCCCCTCCCTAAGAAAACCACCTACTTTTGTATGGGCTCTCGGACAATATCACAGCCCATACACAAATCAAGTGACTTGTGTGGCGTATATATATTTGATGCCTTCTTGTACCCATGATGTTAATCTTCAACCAAACACTTAATCCAATTTGCAATTTCATTAACTTCAATGTCATTTAGACAATTTGTCTTATAATTCCACTTAACGTACAAACTTATATCAAGTCATTCATTAATATAACTTTATTTGAAGTAGAGAAGAAGAAAAAAAAGGTTATTTACAACAATTTCATTTATATACAATGACGAGAGAGAATAAATAAAGAATTCAATAGTCAATAGCGAATGATTTTAAAGTTTTTAAAAGTGTTTTTGGTTGAATAAATTTTTTAAATTCAGTTCTTGGTATCCATGCAAAATTATTAATATTGAAATCATTATTTATAATTAAATCTTCACCATGCCAATGTCTATCAACATAGACGTTGAAAAAGTATACCTATAAAAATAAACAGAAAGAGAATATATGAATATCATTATGATTGGTAATATGTTGTTCTGTTAACAGAAATCTGTACTAGGCTAGGTGTGTTATTTTCTAACATTGACAATCTTTACCCGTTGTTGAGAGGCATCATCATTGCAGATGTCATTTATTATTATTATTATTTATTTATTTGAATACATGGATATTGGTACAAGGCGGCACCAAATATATATGCGATACACCTCTTCTAATCATCTCACATTGTTGTGAACGAAACCACAGGTGGGGACAATCGAATGTAATTTGAACACAAAATTGCAAAAAAAACCCATACAGTAAATACTTCATTTCCAAAATGTCAATCAGTCGTCTCAGATTTGATTATTCCTACGTTTCCACACTAATCATTCTCTGTTCTCGTACTCTTTCCTTCGATCTTCTGCCTTTAGGCATTTAAATTTCGATTGATGATACATACTACTTATATCTATCGATATCAGTAGTACATACCACAATATATCATAATACATACGACACTGGATCGCTTACACTAGTCTATTTATTTAGACACATAAACATTGGTACAAGGAGGCACCGAATACATATGCGCCACACAAATCTCATTCGATATATGTGAGGGCTGTGATACTGCCCTGGTGCCCAAACCGAAGCAGGTGGTTTTCTTAGGGGGCCACACCCGGAGCCTTTGACCTGAAGTTCTGATCCACAAGGCAGGGGAGCATCGTAAGGAGATGCAGTCCTATGGTAGCCGGTGACCAACGATTAGTTCATACGACATTTGTTCCTTCAGGATACTGGAGCCCATGTGCACCATTGATTTGGAATCAGGGTTCTCCAACTCCCCTCTAGGTGGACTCACCGTGTCCACTAACCTGCAGATGTCATATTTCTATACAGCTGGCAGTAAAAACTTTGCCCTCAGACTTTGAGTTGTCTTCAGCTCTACTTTTGGAACTGGTAGAACTTGAAGAAACCAATATCCTGAATAATATAGTTTGATTTAGCAATACGGATATACAAGCCTGATCACTACAAAGCAGAGGGTATGGTAGAGATAATGTCTAGAAAGAATGAAAGCTTCACGAGTTAACCATTCAGTTCAGAATATTCAAAGTTTCAAACCATGACGAAACAACTAGGTCTCAATGACCCCCCAAATGTCAGCCTATGATAAAAACAAACTTCCTCTAAAAATCAAATAGATCTCTGAGAACCACCCAACTAGATGATTTCTACTATTTTTGAAAAACAAACAAAAACCTATTAGCACTTAGTAATTATACACTTACCTGTGTACCAGTATCTTCTTTATTTCTATCTCTAGTCAACCAAACAGCAACTGGTGTATTGCCAAATATACACCATTTAGCTCTTGGTGGTAATAAACTTGTTGCTATAGAATCAGCGACCTGGAGAGGGACAAAAGTGAATGAAATTTAAAATAAGAATAGTAGTGATTTCTTTCAAATGATATTGGTAGACAAAATAATTAAGTTATAAATACTTGAATTGGTACAAATGACCTACGAAATTGACTTTTTCATTATAAACAATATTGTTTTTTGTATAATCTACAATAGTGCATGAATATGATGGTAAATTTTATTTTGTTGATATTGGTATTCAGCACAATTCAAATGGTCATATAGAAAGATTTATTCATCGGAAAGACACTTGGAGTAGGTTTTACTTGAATTTCAATAGTTTTTGTCCAATCAGCTACAAGGTTTTGGTTAAGACACTATATTGAGAACGGAAGACTGAAAAATTAACTATGGTTGAAAAATGTCTACGAGATAATGATTATCCACAAAAGTTCATCAGTAATTATAAGGAAACAAGAAAAAAAAGAGTGAAATTTGCCACAGTCGAGAAAAAGTCAACCTTCTTACAACTCAGTTTGAAAGGTGATAAAAAAGCGAGCATGATTAATTCTAGACTAAGTGCTCCACTGAAGAGGACATGTCCAGCAGCAAAACTATTTTCTATGTATCAAACAAATAGCACATCGAGGAGGAAAAAAGTGGGCAAATCCCCTCTTCCGGTTACGTCCGATTGCACTTATCAGTTCGCCAGCTCATGCCAGAGCATTCACTTCGAAAGAACAGAAAGAATTCATGATCGAATCTCCGAGTATATTCCACAAAAAATAAAGATCAAAAAGTCAACGTATTTTCAACAATGCCATGGCTTGATATTTTAAAACCTTTCAAACATAATAAATACTTAAACAGATTTGAATTTACGACGTTATCAAAGGGCCATCGCTGTAAAAAAGCCATACCTATATATTCAAAAGGAAACCGTTGTAAATCCATCACTACTCTGGTAACTTCAAGTTTCTGGGATCCAGTTGCGTAATATCTTAGTTCGTATTCGTAATAGCAGATTCCTTTCTCAATGTTGGGTTTTTTCAGCTTTACTCATCCAATTATTTTATTCTATCAAAATTTTATATACATGCTCTAGGAACGTACCTCCATGTGTTTAAGAAAGAATTTATTCTGGAATTTTTAGCTGGTAAATATTCATTCACTTCACCCCTATAATGTTTCTCTTTATAACTGTTGTTGGTATTCTCCTATGATCTATTTGATTATATAAAGTATGCACATTGCTATAAACCATAATAATTATTAGGCAAAGATGGATAGTGGTTAGCAGTGGAATCTAGGACGCGCGTCCCGTTTTATTTGGGACCCGTCAGCTAAATGTACCTGTATTCAAGAGTTGACGCTCACTCCGGGACTCGAACCCAGTACCGTTCGCTTTAAACACCATCGCATTATCCATTTACCTACTGACTTCTGATAGCCACTTGTTTTCGCAATGGTGTGAAGTTTAAATTCACTTATTTTTGTTTGCTTGTATCTTCGCATTGTTGTTTGGGACTGCAATTGATCAGTCTTTTATTAGCATATGTACATCCAATGAGGATTGACTCGAGTGAGCATCAACTCTGGGATTCAGGTACATTCAGCTGATGAGTCCTAAATAGGACGATACACGCGTTATGGATTTCACTGCTAGTCACCATCAATTCTGTACATCATGCTTGTGACTTGAGGCAATATCGAGGCAATCCGCACAGAATCCACATATGTCAATAAGAGACTGATCAATTGCAGTCCTAAACAACAATGGGAAAATACAAGCAAAAAAACGCCAAGTGAATTTATAATAATTATTGTTTCTAAGTTGTAAGCAGCTGACAAAATAACTGATTTCACTTTATTCTGCTACACTTGTTCTTGCTTTAATCTAATTAATTTTTGTGTTAAATATTTTGCAGATAGTTGTGTTATTAAAGTAAGTATTATCTAATACTGTTAACTTCTGAATCATAATTGAGCCTCACAATATTACACACTACACTGTTGATTGCGCAAGCCTAATATCTCTTATTGCTACACAATAACAGTTAAACCGTATTCACACCACCATATACAACAAGAAGGAAAGGAATATCATCCTGTATAGGAAAGCATTTGTTGTTTCCAGAAAAACAAAAACAAATGGTGCAAATATTCTGTATACATAGCTTATACATAACTCTATAAAAACATGATTCTGCGTATTAAAAATTTGAAGAACCAATTAACATGTATTTTCAAGTCACCATATACTTTTGATATGGAGTGTACGAACTTAAGGAAACATAAAAATTGATATTTTATGGCAATCTTAGAAGATTGTACAGTGGTGTTACCAGTACTAGGAAAAATGCTATGCATTTTGACGATACACTGGCTATATTATGAAGTATTAGAATATTATATATAAACGTTTTCATAACCAGATACATCAATATAGTTACCTGTCTCAAATTTTTTCCATCGGATACTGGTGCAGTTGGAAGATTCCATCCACTAGATACATTTTTCGGGGATTGAACTAACAAGTACAAAGGTTTATCTAACGCACGCCAGGCGGACTTTAAATTTTCAGATTTATCATTTTCTAAAAGAGATCAAGTGAAAACAATTATTTGTGATAGAAATTACTAAAACGAAGCGTGAAATCATTCTTATTGAACGTCAGTGAGAATAGTTGTAACTCTTACAACTACATTGGGCTACAGATACTCGTTCATAAGATGGAACCATCTAAAATCACTTCCACGTATTAATATTAGATTCAGGAATAGTTAAAAACGATTATTTCGAATTTTAACGCTGTTTAACTCCAAAGGAACAACTTAGTTATTTTTACCATCATTAAATTTGGCTACTATTAAACCGTTTAGATGAAAAATGAAATAAAACTACAGTAATACCGTTACTAATCTCTGTTTTGAGACATGTGATAAGGTTCCAAGCCATTCGATTGCATAACATTTAAGACCCCATTGAAGAAGTTGTAATGCACTGGCAAACATGGCCTCAATATAACTACTCTTCCTTTTGAACGGAGAAGAGGCGCCGCCTATTTTTCATCCTTTAATAACTGAGCCGCTTCCAACAGTTTTAAGAACCAATTTACACCCA